AATTGTGAAACCTAATAACAAAATGTCAATGTTCATGAGAGATCAGTTGAAGAATTGATGGATTTGATGCTGTAATCGGTGATCGGCACTCGATTATACATGCACCTGACCAATTTGTCCTTAAGCAGCCAAACGTTCCTATAACATCTCAAAACCCAAAGTTATCCAGAAGGTTCTCTATTGGCTTTTTATAGCTGTCTCACCTAGTTTTAGTGCAGTAAGCTGACATTTTACAAAGGAGTGGCCTTGTTTGTTTAAGCCTTGTGACGCTGACATATGAGTCACTCAGACATAAGGCACAAGATTGATAACTTTTTAAGATATAACCACTTTTCTAATTGATAGATTATATTAAATGTGACAGAAAATAACCATATCTGTGTTTCTAGGTTTTATTAGAAATTGTTTTTTGTTTTTATCAGGAGTTTATGAGATAACTAAGGGGAGAGAGAGACAGCGGACAATCCTGTCAAACTTGTCTCTGATTCTGAATAGAAGGATTTTTCTTTTAAACACTGGGACATAATGTCTCAAAGCCATTGAATGTGGAAGGACATGTCTTTCAGGTTTTTGGTGCAGAGCAACTAACAAACACTTGGTACAAATCCTATTTTCAGAACACTTCTTAATCAGGGGTCGTCCAATACTTGGATTAATGTCTCATCTGATCATGATGGGATTTTCTCAAAGTTTCCTCTTTTTGTTTTTTTTTTAGGGTTGTCTCAACGCCATATTGATATCAGAAATCTGTCCTATATCAGCCAGTGCAGAATCTGAAAGAACAGCCTGCATCTAAAATCTCCTATGTCAGCACACTGATAGAAATACTCCACTTCTATCAGCTTCTGTTTACATTTTATATAACCAATTGGTGTGTAAGAACTAGTTCTGCTGTTCTCATATGTAATTTTTTTTTATTGTTGCTCTCAGTTTTAATTACATCCCATGATCAAGCCTATTCTGACATTTCAACCTACAAAATAATAAATAAAAGTTCTATGAGATGTGCTGGTACAATACTGGGTGAATATCTGCATCAGTCAATACTCAAAGCTACAATATTGGTATCATATCAGAAATTAAAGACTTTATCTGGACATCCATTGTTTTTTGCATCCCTTAAAATGAAGCAAAGGGCTTTTGTTTAAAAGATATTCTAAGTTTTTTACCTTTACATTACACACAAACATCAAAAACACCGATCAATTGGCCAATCATTACAATCACACTGCAAAAATTGAAATTTAAGCAGGTAATTATTATTAAGAGGTATTTTTCCCTCAATTTTGGCAGGTTAGTAAAATAATTTACATTTAGAATAAGAAAAAACAACACATTATATTATTTCAAGTGTATATTATCTAAATGTCTTATTTTAAGGGTAAACATGCTCATTCTATCTGCAGATTATGTTATTTATCTCCTCAAATATACTTCAGATACTCATCTGGAAAAAATGTGTAGTTTAAGATCAGTTTTAGCAACTTTGTGGCTTTTTTTCACTGATCAACAGATCAGACATAACTTATTTTTTTAAATATACATTCAAACAAAACTTCAATCTTTGTAATTTGGATCAAAAACACAGCTAATTTGTTTCTTTTTTATATATAGTCGCATGCCTTGAAGTAGAAACAAAAATCAGAAAAGGTCAAAGTAAGTAAGTAAGTCATGTTTATTTATATAGCACTTAAAAATGACCCCAAAATTAAAATGGTCATAAAAAAAAAACTCTTAATCTACTGGAATTAAAATGCTCTCTTATACAATTAGGTTTTCAGTTCACAGTTAAAAACATCAACAGAATCAAGGAAGCACAAGGAAAGTGGAAGATTGTTCCAGAGCACCGGCTGCCTGAAAGGAGCGATCTCCCCTGGTCCCCTAACGAGTGCGAGGGACCATGACTAAGTTCTGGTCCTGAGACCTCAGCCTCTGAGAAGGGGGTGTATGGACACAACAAGTCTCTAATGTAGGAGGGAGCCCGACCATGAAGGTCAGCACCAGGATTTTAAACTGGAACCAAAAACAGACTAGGAGCCGATGAAGAGCTTTTAGAATCGCCGTCATATGAGCCCTTCTACTTGTACGAGTCAGTAACCTCGCCGCGGAGTTCTAAAACCTGCTGAAGACGATACAACTCCTTTTTGTTTAGACATGAGAATAGACTGTAACAGCAGTCTAAATGGGAAGACACAAAGACGTGGATAATCATTTAAAGATCATCTCTGTACACAATTGTTCAGTTTAGAAATTTTCCTCAGTTGGTAAAAACAGCTCCTTGTCAGCAGTTCTGCGTGGTGCTCTAAGGACAAAGTGATAATGGAGAGGTCAGAACTCAAAGGCCAATGGAAAAAAAAAAAAAAAGGATTACCCAGAAAACAAAAAAACGATTGCTTCATTTTAACACCAAAATAAAAGCACAAATCAAAATGATCAAATTAGAATCTAATGAAGAAGTTATTCATCTAATCAAGTTGGACCATACAGAGATCACCATGTCATTGACATTATTTGTGCTTCAAACATCCCACTATTGCTCTAAAATGTCTAGATAAACCTAACAGCACCCCTCATGCCCTCAAACTAAAGCACAAACATTGCTTTTCACATTGGACCAGTTTTATTGATCAATTCAACATATATAGCATATAAATTGACTGACATAAGTTAATAGCAATGTTACTACCAATAGTTAGTGCACCCCTACTCTAACGTATGAAATACATCTTTTAAAAAAAAGCTTAAAACGCAAAAAGCTCATTGATTATGCTGCAAAAAAATATTGTTTCTTTAGCAACATTGCAACAAAATATGCAAAAATAAAAGTTAATCCTAAGTTCAGACCTAACTAGGAGAGAAATGTGCATTTTTTTTCACTTTGACAGTGTAAGGTTCCCTGCACATAAATGAGATGGAAAAAAATAACAGAAAACGTTTATATGGCAAATTGAAAGGTAGCATGATGTGCATAATGTCCAGCAGGTCAATATCAGTAATAAAACTCAATAAAACAGCAGTAAAAACTCAGCAACGATAAAAACTGAATATAAAACTATACAGAAGAACTCTAGCTTGAAGGCTAAATAATATCTAGGTAAATTAGATTATTTTTATCCTTTATTCTAGCATATTCTTGGAAATGGAGCCAGTTGGAGGTACAGCAGCACAAAAGCAGTTATATCATAGATGAAATAGTTTAAATAATTGTTAAAACTAGCATTATAAGGTGCATTTGAATCCTTTAATAATATATATTTTCATAAATATGTTATCAGAGAAGATATGAGTCCAGAATTTAACCTGAGCCTTGATAGTTGGTTGCTATGGTGATGGTTGTTTAGGTAAATCAAGGGCAAAACAACAAGCTAACTAAAATGTATTTGCCTTTAATGGCTCATGGGTCGAACCTACCTGTCGAACTCCTCGGAGTCGATAGCCGCTCTCAGCACCCAGCCGATGAGAGGAACCCCAGCTAGAAGCTTGATGTTCTTCAGAGGAATTCCTTTGCTTCCCCCTCTGGCTAGAATGAGAGCAGCTACGTGTCTTTTCCCACTGGGACAGAGCCGCTTGCTGCTACTGCTGCTGGTTCTGTCTGGCAATGTATCATTTTCACGTTTGCTTTTTTTCCGGGCAGCCATGTTCACTTTAAAGTCTTCTT